GATATGTATTTATGTCAAATTAATATTAAATGTTTGAAATTACATTAAATACCTACATTAATTTATATAGTGAAGTTACCTATGTATCCAAAATTGAATTGGAATTCTTATCAATTAGGCTATCAAAATTGATCAATTAGGTGAGAGAAATTTTTCTTAAGGGTAGTTTCTTGTATAATATAGAAGTAAGATATATTCATTAAGATTATGTGAGGCTAAAAGATCGAGTTCACACTCAGGCTCATCAAGTAAAGTCTTATGGGATTGACTAGTTTCTACGATGATAGAATCAATTTGACTATATTCCAAGTGTGGACTTGGAATGTAAGACTTAACTAGTTCATTAAGTGTCGGGTCATCAGATTTTATAAAGTATTTGAGACATTCCTCAATGGATGGGTCGCTAGGATCGGGAGGGTAAAGACTCATAAATTCCTTATCACATATAAGGTCTTCGGGGTAAGATTGTTGTATTTTATCCATTTCTAGGCTAGTAACCATAAAGACATCATAAGGCGTATGTTGTTCTAGATTACTATTACCTTGAAGTTGATGTGTATATGGGGCTTTAGGAACGGAATTAGGTGTTTCCCCAACTTGTTCTATAAGTGTAGAATCTGTGTTATGCACAAATGTATTAGTTGGAAGAAAATGATCTACCTCCGTATTCAAGAAATGAGATCTATTAGCTTCCTCGTGTGATCCGAAACAACTAGGCGAAACCTTAAAATTTCTAATTATTTGTTTAGTGTTAATCGTTGGTTGACGATATAATTTTTCTTTTTCTCGCTCGTTGTCAATCTCAATTAGTCTTTGTTCCAAACGTTCTATTATTTTAGATTGAGTAGCTTGTTGCTCTAGTAGTTTCATAAGCAAATCTTCATTACTTGATTTTGGTTCAGGTTTTTCTTAAGGGATACCTAGTGTCATATCTATATTATTACTCATTAGATTGTCATATTTTTTATATGGAGAGTTACTTCGAACTAATTGTTGAGGTTCAGGATATTTTGATTTTTCATGTGTATATAGTTTGTTTGGTACCCTCCAATCAAAGTTATTTGTTTCGATATGATCGGTGTAAGATGAGTAATTAAAATTAGGTTCATTGACACTTATGGTTGGGTTAACTTCATTGTTTTGTAAATAAAGATTTTCAACATTTTCAACAAAGTTATTAAGTTGTATATTGACATCATTGTTTTCCTTTTTAACCGGGGTTTTTATATTGTTTACCATTAGATAGTGATTCGAAATATTGCTATATTGTTGAGAATTTTCAGCAAATAAAACAAAGAATTCATGGGCTTTACTTACGGTTAAACCTAAGAAATTTCCTCCATTCATGGATTCCACTACAAATCGAGAAGTGGGAGTTAATCCGATGTAAAAACATAGAACTAAAGTCTCTTTTGGGATTTGATGATGTGGGCATTGTATATGAAGATCATTAAATCTATCCCAAGCTTCGTAAAGTTGATCTTCATTAGGTTTTTGTATAAATGTTTGAATTCTATTTCGCATATCTATCGTTCTAGACATGGGGTAATATTTTGTTAAGAATTTAGAGTTCAATTGTTCCTATGTTTGAATTGAGTTTCCGGCTAAGGAGTTAAATCATTTTAAAGCTTTCTCTTGTAATGAGAATGGAAAAAGTCTAAGACGTATGCACTCCGGTCCTAATTTATTTTCATCAAAGGTAGAGCATATCCAAAGAAATCTCAGGATATGTGCGTATGGGTCTTCTTGTAAGTGTTATATATCTTGTGAACTGTGACTGCCAAGGGCTTATGGTCTTTTCACATGTTATATTAGTTGTATGAGTTCTTGTATTAAGTCTAGGTCTTGGTGTTCAAGTGTCCGGAGGCCTACGGAGCTGAAGACATCAAGAATGGACATGTATG